GGCATACAGGATGCTATGGAAATGGAAAGAGAAATTTTTTAGGGGAAGTAGGTCAGCAAAGGGGTTTCACGCAAATGACTCAGACACATGTTTGAGTTGCATGTTCAAGGATGGGTAGGAATTTGCCAGGCCATCTAGAACCCACAGAGTTGAGTTTGTCTGGCATCTCGGGGCACTGCAATTAATACACTGTTAGCCATGGATGGAGTGGGAATATGTGGTAATGACGGCCATAGTGCTACCAGTAACAATAGCTAACATTTGTTACATTGTTGAGCACCTGCTCTGGGCAGCCTTGAACTAAATGGTAAGAGATGTGTTTTGGGAAACTAACCAGAGGCCAAATCTAAGCCTCTTGAACTTTATCCCCTATAAGCCATTAATAGATTTGGAGCAGAGGTGGGACACACTTTGATTTGCGTATCAACTTAATCGTTGGTAAGATTGTTACCAAGATAACAGCATTGGAATGGACCAGATAGCCTTTGAACCTGAGATTGTAGATTCTGTGCTTTATCATTACTATGATACTACTTTACCAACTTTGGGGACAGATTGGACAGATGCCTTATTTCTTGCCCCTTTTGTTCTACAAAGGTGTGGTTTTATGTGCTTGCCTATCTGTGCAGAAAGGATACATGACCCAATTTCCCAATGATTTAGGAAGGAAGAATCATCAGTATTAAAGGGCTTTTTTAAACAGCGTCCCTATCTCTCTAATTTAAATACAAAATGATTGTGAATATTCCTTGAAGATTCCCTGTCTTGTCTCCTTTCAGGATAAATTTGGCTCAACTATGGTAGGCCATCATTTTTTATGCACAGTCACTGAAGCAACATAAGAAATGATAGTGTTGTACTTCACTCATATGTGGAATTTAAGATACAAAACAGATGAACATAAGGGAAGGGAAGCAAAAGTAATATAAAAACAGGGAGGGGGCCAAACATAAGAGACTGTTGAATATAAAGAACAAACAGTTGCTGAAGGGGTTGTGGGCAAGAGGATGGGCTAAACGGGTAAGGGGCATTAAGGAAGACACTTGTTGGGATGAACACTGGGTGTTATACATAGGGGATGAATCAGTGGAATTTATTCCTGAGATCGTTATTGTACTATAGGCTAACTAACTTGGATGTAAATTTAAAAATTAAAATTAAAAAAGAGAAATGATAGTGTTGCCACTGAGCTGACCCTGGTGGTCAGTGAACAATTTCACCAGCTTGTTATAGCTGTAAGAGAAATTGGAAGCCTAGTCTTTACTTCTGCCTACACTGGGCACAAGCAGATATTGACAGTTCTGTCTTACTCTCTTAAGAACAATTTGGAGCTTGGATGGTATTTTCTTTAGATTTATTATTGCCAGGTGGCTCTTGGGCTCCAGTTCCAATTCTGCTACCACTTTGCTGGCTGTTTGAGCATAGATATGCCACTTAATTTTGCTGAGCTTTTGTTTCTTCATCTATCTAATGGATTTAATAATACCTATAGGAGTATTGTGAGGATCAATTGGTTGGCATTTGTGAAAGTGTCATCATAGGATCTGGTAAATAAGTGTTTCATAAGTAATACTTTCCTTCCTTTTTCTTTAGCTAGTCAGAGTGCCTGAAACCACCATTATGGATTCATTGTTAGTGATTCATTCCTTTGAGTACTATTATGTGTGCCTCAGTGAAGGGTAATATTGTAAGCTATGACTAACTCCTTTCTCATGATTAATGTGTCACATACTTTCGGCGACTAGCCAAAAGCAATGCATTTGGGACTGGGTTTGAGAAAAACATTAGAGGAGGAGTAGAGACACTAGTAGAAAAGTGGAAAGTACCAAAGAATAATTTAGAATCATAGAATTTTAATATTAGAAGAGATTTTTAGGTATTCTCTACTGAGCATATATGATTGATAGTGGAAAAAAATAGATGCTAGTATAAACAAAGTATTCATCTTCTTCTCATAAGTAAAAAAAGATAAATTTCTCATACTTATCCTAGAAAACAAAACCAAAGAAAAATGTTTGTTCATCTATAATTTTCCTTATAATACAAAAACAAAAATAGCTTACATGCTATTGTAAATAATACATGTTCTGGTTATAAATATTACCCTTCTTTCTCCTTTGCTCCCTATCTCAATGAATGGAAACACCTTACACTGAAAGCCCAAGCTAAAAACCTGTGATTCATCTTTAATTTCTTCTGCTTTCTCACTACTGGAAACACTGAAAGCTCTTGATTCAACTTCCAGAGTAGCTCTCAAATACGTCTACCTCTAGCTGTCTGCACAGCCACGACCTTAATCCATCATCCCCAGGCCTCATTTCTGTAACTGTTTCCTAATTGGTGTCCCTGCTTCCCCCATCCATTTGTCATACCAGAAGACAAATACTGTTCCTACAAACAAAACTAGTTGTTTCCATTCTTTGAGCAGTGTTTGCTAGGCTTTGTACAAGTGTTAGAAATGAGATGTGTAAAATACAGTCCCTGGTCTCCAGAAGGCGTGTCACTTTTTAAACATCTTTGATACTTGCCATAAGTCAGGCTCACAGGCTGTGATCTGGCCTCTGCCTACCTCTTCAGACTCCTCTTCAGACACACACACCCCACGCTATCCTGGAACTCTGTGTTCTTTACCAGTCATAATTTTGCTACTTATGGTTTTGAAATAGGACTTTCATATTTGTGTTACCCAGATTTTAAAATCCATGCCCTAATCACCACCGCCACGTACCAGATAGCTCCTAGCCCCTAGAGCCTGCTGAAATTATTCAAATTAGCCAATGCTAAACCTGCTTACCCTCCCTTACTTTGCCTTTCTCTGGGAAACCACAATAAGGGTTGTCATCTATGCTTCCCCCTTGCTCATTGTGCCTCCTGACTGATGGTGGTGCTTTCCCTTGTGGCCCTGCTTGGCATGGCATGCCTCCTCTTAGGAACTGTGAATAACAAACTGTCTTTTCCGTGGCAGTCATCTCCTGATCTGTTGGCCTCACCATACCTGAAAAATAATAAAACCTATATTTTAAACACACTGCCACCACCACTATAGAGTGAATTGTGTCCCCTCATATGTTGAATCTCTAGAACCGTGTGTGACAATATTTGGAGATGGGACCTTAAGACGGTCATTAGGTTTAGATGAGGTTATGAGGATGGGGTTTTCATGATGGGATTAGTGTCCTTCTAAGAAGAGACCAGAGAACTTGCTCTCTGTTACCCTTTCCCATGTGAGGTTACAGAGAAGGCAGCCATCTGCAAGTCAAGAAGAGAACTTTCACCAAGTACCAAATCTGCCAGTATCATCATCTTGGGCCTCCCAACCTCCAGAGGTGTGAGGAATAAATTCTGTTGTTTTAGCTACCCAGTCTAAGGTATTGCTATAACAGCCCAAGCTCATGAAGACAGCCACTTAGTTTAAATCTTTTCAGCGGCTGGGGCATCTGAGTGGCTCAGTCAGTTAAGTGTCCGACTTCAGCTCAGGTCATGATCTCACCGCATATGAGTTCAAGCCCTGTGTCGGGCTCTGTGCTGGCAGCTCAGAGCCTGGAGCCTGCTTCGGATTCTGTGTCTCCCTCTCTACTCACGCTCTGTTTATCTCTCTCTCTCTCAAAAAATAAACATAAAAAAAAAATCCCTTTCAGCCTAAAACGCTTGCCTGATCTATTTGCTGCTTATCTCTCCAGCCTCATTTTATGTCCTTTCTCTTCATCATTAATTAAGCTTCAATCGCAATGAACATTTTCATTTCTTGAAATCCCCTTCCTGCAACAGGACCTTTGCACATTATATTTCCACTGCTTACGGGTTCTCCTCTTCCCCTCAGTCCCTCTTCATCTTACTCATATCTGCATATTTTCTAGGTCTCAGGTTATGTATCACTCCTGTAAGGAAAATCTTTATGACTCTTATGGTTGTCAAAATGGAATCTTTATATTTAATCACGTTTTTCATTCCCTCCACCTCACTAGAATGTGAATCCCTCAAAGGCAACGACTATGTCTTGTTTTCATTATATGCTCAACAACTAACTTCTATAGGATTGGTTTAAGGATTAGAAACAACCTATCTGCAACATTTAGCTTAGTGTGTAGCTTGTAGTTTAATACGTAATAGTTATAATTATTATTGCTAATAATATTTTTCAGAAACATAGGTTACTTAGATTAACCGAATGACTTTCCCAGCCATTAATATCCCTTCTTAATGTATATTAGTGGACATTTTATCCATCTTAGGTGTTCTAGGAAAAGGGAAAATGCAAAAGAACATTGATAGGACCCACACCCCTATAGATGATAGACATATGTCTTTCCTGGAAGTATGATAACATAGTTTGTGGTACTGAACTGATCTGAGCTGCCTAGTGAGTCAGGCGTCCTATTTAGGTGTGTACATTAGGATAGATGGATGGATAAGCTTGTTTGTTCAACAACAACAAACCAACCCCCATAAGCAGAGGGCAGAGAAAGGCAGAAGAAAGAGGCAGGCCACTCCAGGTTGGTAGTTGGCAGTTTTAATAGGCAGAGAGTACTTACATACGAGGCTTGTCTTGGGTGGCAGCAATGGGTCTCCCCACCTGCCCACCGAATCTTGAACATTCATAAAGAGGCCTTAGTTAGGTTCAGTAAGGTATACCTTGCAGGTGTTTTCAACAGCAACATCACTATCTCAAGGGTACCACATCATTGTCTAAGACTATGTCTAAGTCTATGTCCTTGGAACTGCCTCTGGGAGCAAGAAAAGCAGAAGTCCTATTCCAGGGATGGGTAGAGGTGAGGAGCCCCCAGTTGCCCAGGTCCAGTTCACAGGTCAACCAACGGTCACTTCCTTTCAGTGACCTTCCCCAACACTCAGAGTAAATAAGATGTTAAATATATGAAAGAATTAGTAAAAGATATTAGATAATAAGAGGTGACTATCATAATCATTCTGACGTTTTATTTTTATTTGTATAATAATTGCACCTCTACAATATTCAAGTGCTCTTTCTTTGTTTCTTATAGCTATTGGATGAACTCCCAATGATTTACAGCTGTTGTATATTTGTGTACTGCATGTAAGTACTTAACGTTTAAAATTCAGTTGTTTGATACATTTTAAAATTCATATTCACTTCATACTGAATTAAGTAATATAGTTAACCCTGTTATATTACTGGGAGGTTGTAATAGTGTAAAAGGTTCTAACTTCTGTGATCTTCATGTAAAGTATAATATCTGGGAAGTTATAATAATGTTGTTTATTAACTTTTATGATCTCATAAAAGTTTAGATAGACTCTTACTTAAATTTGACTTGCATAGTCTGCCTTTCCTTGAGTTATGAATGTATGCAAATTTATTTTTTTTTAAATTTTTTTAGTGTTTATTTATTTTTGAGAGAGAGAGAGATAAACAGAGTGTGGGCAGGGAAGGAAGAGAGAGAGGGGGGGAGACAGAGAATCAATCCGAAGCAAGCTCCAGGCTCTGAGCTGTCAGCACAGAGCCCGACGCAGGGCCTTAACTCACAAACCGCAAGATCATGACCTGAGCCGAAGTTGGACATTTAACCGGCTGAGCCACCCAGGCGCCCGTACAAATTTATTTTTATTTAAAAAATTTTTAAGTTTATTAGAGAACACGGGGGAGGGGCAGAGAGAGAGAGAGAATCCTAAGCAGGCTTCATGCTGAGAGTATGGAACTCCATCTCATGGACCCGTGAGATCATGACCTGAGCCAAAATCAAGAGTCAGACGCATAAGCAACTGAGCCACCCAGGCACCCTGAATGTATACAAATTAGGTAAAAATTTTATATAGTGTGCCATAAAAATAATATTTATGTCCTTTGTACCTGTAATTGTGCTAGGCAGTGTAAAAGCCATCTCTAATTCTCTCAGTTGTGCAAGGTAACTTGGTATTATCCTCATTTTATAGATGATGAAGTAAAGCACAGATTTAGTAACTTTTCTAAGGACATAAGCCGAGCTTCTGCTTAGGTGACTTGCCTAAGCTGTGTAGTTGTAAGTGTCAGAGTTGGAAATTGAACTACAAAGTTTAATAACCTTGCCTTCTAAGTATGCCTTCAGTTTCCTAGCACTAGTACTTAAAACTTCTCTAAAGCCTTATGTGATGTGTTATCTGGTTCTTTTCGATGTGATCATCATTGCTAGCTCAAGAATATTTTCTTCTAAAGATATCTAAAAATCAGAATCGTTTGAGAAAATATATTATTAAAAAGAGCTCATCTGAATTTTTTTCTGTAAAGGGACAGATAGTAATTATTTTAGGTTTTGTGGGCCTGTGGTCTCTGTTGATCTTCATCTTTGCTTGTGTAGTATTGAAGCTACAGGCACCCCGATAATAGGTAGACAAATGCTCGTGACTGTGTTATTTACCCAAAAAGAGCTTGAGCCTTTGGGCGGTAGTTTGCTGCTCCTGATCTAGAAAAACACCTTCAGGTGAGCTTTTTTTAATAAGTCATCAAGTAACAGAACTTAAAGGTAAAAGAGATCTTAGAAATAATGTGGGCCAGGGCTGCCTGGGTGACTCAGTTGATTAAGTGAGCCTAGTGATTAGATACATGAGAAAAATATTTTATCCCTGCACACGAGTTGTTCACAATCTGGTTGAGGAGACTGGTAAAAGAAACCATTATAATACAGTGATATTTTCTGTAATAGCGTGCCTTAGTCAGAATGGCTCACAAGATTTAGAAACCTACCCAAGCCGGCTTGAGTTCAGAGAGATTTATTTATTTTAGGGACATGAGGAAATAGATGAAACATAATAGCAGGAAGTATAGCCTGGCTACAACTCAAGGGCAGATTCTGTCTCCCGCTCTTCTCCCCATTCCTTCCTCGCATGGTCTCAAGTCTTTGAATCTGCTTTATTTTTCTCTCCATGCAGATCACTTCTCTGCTCATTCATCTTCTTGTTCATTCAATTTAGCTGCCCAAATACCAGCATCAGATTTTCAATCCATAAGCCTTTATACTTGGATTCTGTACACTTAATTGATTCAGTCCCTGGCTCCCAAGCTCCCAAGTTTTCAGGAGAGAGCCTCTCATTGTTCCAATTGAAGCCAGGTGCCTACTCCTGATTCACCCAGCGTCTTGGCGGAAGTGCAAGTAGGCAGTGCAAATTCTCTAAGATGAGAGTTTGGGAGGAAATGGGGGCATCGCTGGATCCAGAGATGTGTACACAAGCGTTAAAACAGCATTCTATTTGTTTTCCTAGTTACATATTCTAAAACAAGTTTCTTTCTCTATTTTTTTAAAGGTTTGAATGTTTCAAGATGAAGAACTCTGTAAACTACCATCTGCTTTTTATCTTAGTTCTTTTCAGTTTAATAGTAACCACAGTAAGTCATATTTTGTTTCTAAGAGATTAAGCATGTGAACCAGCCGTGTGCGGAGTTTGGCACATTTTACTTCTAGTGTTTGCTTCATGCTGTTCAAACTGAAATGTTTCTACACAAAACTCACAGATACTGTTTCTTTATCTCCTGTTTAGGTGTTATTTCTCAACAAAAAGTTGAGACAACTTTTAAAAAATCTGTTTATTTATTTATTTGAAGGGAGAAAAAGTCAAAGGGCAAATATTTAGTAGCAATGGGGAAAGAATTAACTTTTTTTCATGAATGGACATAGTACCTCCCATTTGTTAAAAGAAAGTGATTGATTCTGCTCTGTTGGGCCTACTGTGACTACTTTAATGGTTAACCTTTTCCTGATAATGAGTTCATGGTCACTTCTCATCCTATCCTAGTGCTTTTTTCCCTCAAGTAAAGTGCATTTTGTATTAAGAGATAATTCATTTCAACAAATGTGAATTGCAAACCTATCATATCAAGCAGTAGAAAATACAAAGACGGCGAAGAAGCAGTTGCTATGCTTAAGGAATACATTCAAGTAGAGAAATCAAAGATGTAAGCACAGAATTGCATCAAAAGATGATGATTACAATAATAATGGTAAGAACTAGTTAAATGATGAGAAGACACATGAATGAAAATTACTTGGGTTTGTCAAGGAAAGCTCCTTTTAACTGGCTTTTAACTGATGGTTAAGAGTTTGCCAGGCCCCTGGGGCAAGAATGTGATGAAGTATTTCTAAATAGACTGTTCATTGTCCCTAGGCATAGAACCTTGGAACATAATAAACTATCATTTCTAAGCACTTACTATGTGCCAGATACTACACTGAGTACTTCATTTTCTGATTAAATCATCACTACCAGCAGAAACAGGAGAGATTTAATATGGCTAGAGTATATGTTAAGTGGTGATGAGTGAATGAGTCTAGTTAATGAGATAAATGTCAGATTATAAAGACCCTTGTATACACTGGGATTTTTATCTTCAAGGTAATTTGAAGCCATTAACTGATCCATAGCTGAGGAAGAACATGGTTAGTTAGAAAGATGACTGATTTTAGAGGATGGATTAGAGGAATATGAGGCTAGACTCAGGGACTTTTGCATTTGCTTAGGCAAAGTATGAGACTCCGACTGAAGTAAAATTGGTGTGGGGATGCAAAGAAGCTGTCATAGGGGCACCTGGCTGGCTCAGTCAGTAAAGCTGCGTGACTCTTGATCTCTGGATTGTCGGTTTGAGCCCTACATTGGGTGTAGAGATTACTTAAAAAAATAAAATCTTAAAAAAAAAAAAGACGCTGTCATAAATAACAATCCATAAGACTTGTGACCCACTAAGTAGAGGGTGTGGGTATGGGGTAAAAAGGAATTGTCTAGAATGATGCCTCTGTTTACAGCCTGGCCATCGTGGTACATAATAGGTTCTTAACCAAGATGGAAAACTTCAAGGAAGAGCAGATTTTGCAGGAAAGATAATGAGTAGGTTTGTGTCACAGAGTAGAGGTAGATAAATTCAATTTGGAATGTGTTGAGATTGAGATGCCTGATGTTAATGACACCTGAGGCTTATTAACAGGTAGGCTGAGCTAAAGATGTGGGTTTGAGAATTGGTATGGGAGGTACTAGAAATGCGAGAACAGATGAACTGGCACAGATAGCATGAACCATTAAAATTACCAAAGATGCAACCCTATGGAACACTTTTTTTTTTGACAGAGATAAACAAGAGTATACATTTATGATACTTTACCCTAAAAGTTCTAAAAGTTACAGTTGATTTGTCTATTTGACATTCACATCCTGTCACTATGCAAACTTTCATAATGCCTAAGGATTTCAATGAGTCAACACTTTAAAAATAAAAGTTATATACATTCAAGGTGTACAGCATGATGATTTGATATGCATAGTGAAATGATTACTATAGGCAAACTAATTAACATAGCTTCTCACATAGTTGTCGTGTGTGTGTGTGTGTGTGTGTGTGTGTGTGTGTGTGTGTGTGTGTG